CAATTATGGTACATATTTCCGAAACCATCTCCAAATCTTAACCTCATATAATTCATGAAATGCATACCAAATTTCAGGATTCCAGTTCTATCCCTTCATCCAATACCAAATTTAGTACTTTTCGTACAATTATAGTACACATTTCCAAAACCACCGCTATATCTCAATTTCCAGATACCAACAGAGACCTCAATACATACATATCAAATTTGAGGATTCCACACCCATACCTTCACCCAACACTGAATTTAGTACCATTTAGTACTTTTTGTAAAAATATAGGACGCATTTTCAAACTACTGCCAAATCTCAAACACAAATACCATCGATAATCTAAATATAAAATTTCAGCATTTCAGCTCTATTGTAGTACACATTTACAAAATCACCTCTTTATCCCAAACCTACTATCAACAGAGACCCCAATACAAAATGCCGAAATTTCAGCTTCATACGTTCACCGTAAACCAAAGTGTTCCAACATTTAGTACCATTTCATTTTACAGACTTAGTACACATTTCCAAAACCACCTTCTTGATATATGAAAGTGATTTACTTTCCAAACTTGATTCTGATAACAAATTTCAAACTCAACCTACTGCCAAATCTCAAACACAAATACCATCGATAATCTAAATATAAAATTTCAGAATTTTAGCTCTATTGTAGTACACATTTACAAAATCACCTCTTTATCCCAAACCTACTATCAACAGAGACCCCAATACAAAATTCCGAAATTTCAGCTTCATACGTTCACCGTAAACCAAAGTGTTCCAACATTTAGTACCATTGCAGTTCACAGACTTAGTACACATTTCCAAAACCATCTTCTTGATATATGAAAGTGATTTACTTTCCAAACTTGATTCTGATAACAAATTTCAAACCTTTTTTGCTATATCCGTCTACATAATACCAAACCGTAGCATTTTCGAAGTTTAGTAGAATTTTAGAACTTTTGGTATTATTAAAGTTCGAATTTTCAAAAACCCTTTGGTCATCTATCCTGCACTCTATCAGTGACCCTCATTCCAATTTTCAGAATTCCAGCTCCTTCCAATACAAACTTTCAATTTTAAGTACATTTTAGTACTTTTCGTATCATTTTAGTACGATTTTCCAAAAACTTCATCAAATCCATAATGTCTAGCCTATATAACAATTATATTCGGTAATCAAATAAAATCAAGAAATAGGGATTTGGATATAGTTCCCAAATATTTCTTCGCCCTATTTCTCGTTTACTTTGCACCAAATCTGTAATATCATCCTAGAAGCAGGTATTTTAAATTTGATGAATATCGGCTCAAATATAGCAATAGCTCCGATCACCGACGTAGCAAGGGTATGCTAAATTTGTAGATATTTTTAGGAAATATTACATGAAAATTTCATTTCTTGTCGGTTGGAAAGTTTGGATAAAAAAACAATTAAAAAAGCTGAAGGTTCGCCAGGGCCGATCTTTGAATACCCTCCACCATTTGGAAAGAATTTGGCAATTAAAAAAAAAATCCGTTAAAAATTCTGTTGAAATCTTTAAAATACCGAATGTAGCCGTTATATTAGGTTCTACGACGTGGACCTGCATGGGCAACTTTTGCCATAAGCCATTACAATATTCAAATTCGACACTTGAAAAAAAATTCGGTGAATAATGTCGCTAAAATCATCAAAATACCGAATATAGGGTTATATGGGGCCTATACGAAGACGTTGACCGGCACAGACAATTTTCTGTCATAGGCTGTAGTATCCATTACGAAGTTCAAATACCAAATTTGAAACAATTACGGTGAATAATGTCGCTTAAATCACCAAAACACCGAAAATAGGAGGTACCATTATATGGGCGCTATACCAAAACGAGGACCTACAGGGTGAGATAAAAAACTGCGCGTGATGAGTGCGATGGTGCTGCTCCCGTTAGAATATCCAAGTTCTGCGGCCAAATTTTTTGCGTGCCAAAGGCTTCAATATACCCTCCAGAATATTTTCGCGATAATATTCGGCATTTATCTGATGCCACGTTCGATTAATACGAGCGAAGAGCGACCCTCGGCTGTTATGGCGGCCCACACCATCACCATGGCCGGCGTTTGAGTTCTGGTGGCCAACCGAAGATGCACATTTCCTGTTGACCTCTTTGGCAAGTAAACACGATCATATTGTTTTGTTATAAACTGCTGGACAACGAAGGTTTTCTCATCGGTGAAAACCAAATTCGGCAGTTCACCACTTTCAGCCAAGCGAAACAACTCTTTTAAGTATATTTTCTTTCTGTTGTGGTGTAAGTTCTTACACTTTTTGGAATTTCAATGGCTCTATCCCGAGCTCATTTTTCAATATTGTGATATGTTCAGCTCACAATATATTTTTCTGCCACTGCGATGCGGGTTTCGATCGAGTCGCTTCTTTACTTTTCGAACCATTTCAGCTGATGTTGTTGTTTTCCTCCGTCCATTTCCTTGAAATTTAAATGCTGAAGTGCTCTAACGATAGCCACTTGTGGTTTCCAGCCAAATACAAAGGAATCACACTATCACGCTTAAATTCCATCACGAATAACTTTTTTTCTGAAAAATTCTCACCAAAATGCTTTTGTACACTTGTAAACAATATAATGAGCTGTCACTGGAATAATTTTAACAGCTGTCGGACGAGTGTTTTTTCATCTCACCTGTACATGACCCATTTTCAATACCAAAAGTTCTGCAGGCATTGTATACATTTGAGTTAAATTTTATCAAGCTACTTCAATTCGTTCGGAAGCTAGAGTGATTTCATACGACATAGAATTTTATGCTGATCAAGGATATAAATACTTTGTGGGGTCTAAAATATATATTTCGAGGTGTTACAAACCGAATGACAAACTTAATATACCCTCCATACTAGTATGGTTGAGGGTATAAAAAACTTACCGGAATCTATTAATGAAACACTTTTCTCGTTTCTACAGACCATCTTTATAAAAGTACACTATTAAATTTAGTTCTATCTAAACAAGTAAAAAAGTATCGGTCGGCTTTGCCGACAGATGTATACCCTCAGCCCTCTTCACCCTCTATGGAGTGGGTTTTTAAAGAATGGGTCAATATTGTCAATTTCGTATCGGACCTACATAAATATGATATAAATATTATTACAGCAGATGGATATAGCAATTTTAAAGAATCACTGAGTTGTTTCCCAATTTATGACAGATAAAAATATTGAAAAATATGTCTCTTTGTGGGTGAGGTACCAGAAGGTGTTCGCAGATATATAGGATCATCTTCAAAACAGATCTGGTGTTAGCAAAAATAATTTGTATGTGTGAAATTTGAAAAGAGTTGAATCCTTATTTCGCTTTCTTTGAGCGTTATGTTTTTCAAAATTAGATTATTGCTTCCTTTCTGTGCAGAAAATATATATCTCAAATTTTCGACCATTTGTGGGGGAGGTACCATAAGATGTGGACCGATATACTTCATCTTAACACCAGAGCTTGGGTTAATATAAATATTGGGATGCGCGCCATTCGAAGACAATCGGACTCATACATCACATTTTATGAGAGTTGTAATTATTCAAAATTTTGACCATTTGTGGGGGAGGTACTTGAAGGAGTGAACCGATATTGGCCATTTTTACACCTAACGTAGAACTGATGCAAATATAAGGATTTGCAAAGTGAGAGCAAAATCGGACTATAATTTCTCTTTTTGTGCAAAAAATATATTTTTTGCAAATTTCGACCTTTTGTGGGGGAGGTACCAGAAGGAGTGGACCGATATATTCCATCTTAATATCAGATCTTGGGTTAATATAAATATTGGGATGTGTGAAATTTCAAGACAATCAGACTCTAACATCACATTTTATGAGAGTTGTGATTATTTAAAGTTTTGACCCTTTGTGGGGGAGGTACCAGAAGGAGTGAACCGATATTCTCCATTTTCGCACCAGACCTAGCAATGATGCAAATATTAGGATTTGCAAAGTAGCAGAATAATCGAATTATTCTTTCTCTTTCTGTGCCAAAAAAAATATTTTTTTTTTTTTGAAAATTTCGACCTTTTGTGGGGGAGGTACCAGAAGGAGTGGACCGATATATTCCATCTTAAAACCAGACCTTGGGTTAATATAAATATTGGGATGTGTAAAATTTTAAGACAATCGGACACTTACATCACATTTTAAGAGAGTTGTAATTATTCAAAATTTTTACCATATGTGGGGGAGGTACTTGATGGAGTGGGCCGATATTTTCCATTTTCACACCCGACCTCACACTGACGCAAATATTAAGGTTTGCAAAGTTGGAGCAAAATCGGACTATAATTTCTCATTCTGTGCAAAAATTAAATTTTTTGAAAATTTCGAACTTTTGTGGGGGAGGTACCAGAAGGAGTGGACCGATATTGCCCATCTCCGAACTCGATCTAAGTTTGACAAAAATATTACGATGTACCAAGTTTGGACCAAATTGGATACTCCCTTCGAGAGTTATCGTGCGCACCAACCAGCCAGACAGACAGACAGACGGACGGACGGACGGACGGACGGACGGACATCGCCAGATCGACTCCAAATGTTCTGAAACGGATTTGGTCCAAAGAGACCTAGGGTCTAAAACCGTTATTTCGACTAGGCACGTTTTGGCCGTATCAAATGATATATACCCTCTGTAGCCATATGGCTGAGGGTATAAAAACTGTTACATTCGCCCTGCATTTTCCGTCCCTGACGTCAACAGAAGATATCTTAAGCATCACTGCAAATACATACTTAGCCCACAATATATTTAATGTTGCCGTAATTTATCACTCACGCCGTGGTGTTCCTTGCTTTTGGACTTCTGCAAGAGAAGAATAAAATTTATTAGAATTTTTATTAATTGTCTGTAATTTTTTTCGCAAAATTATTTTAGAACCACAATCGCAACGAGATGAGTTTGCAATGTTTCGCAGTAGCTGTTTTTGATTTGCTAATGCCTTTTTCTTTGTATTTGCAGGTTAATGAGGCTTTTGAATTGTTGAAAAGACGTACATCTTCAAATCCGAATCAACGGCTGCCGAAAGTTGAAATACTGCGCAATGCTATTGAGTATATCGAAAGTCTAGAGGATTTGTTGCAGGTGAGTTGCATGAGATCGGCACTGGCTGGGTGGAAGACTGAAACGATAGCCTCAAAAGTTAAGAAATAAAAAAATATTGACATTTTTTTGTTTTTTGATCTTAGGAATCGTCGCCAATTCGTTCAATGGATAATATAACGGATTCAATAAGTGGGAAATCCTGCCATCAGGACTACTTGGTAAGTTAATTATAAACCAGTAAAGAAAGTTTTAAAGTCGGGCGGGGCCGACTTTATGATACCCTACACCACTTTGCTAATTTAGTAGAGCTCCATATAACAATTAAAAGTTTTTATGGGAGAATTCAATCATACGCGCTATGATTATAATTATAATTTCAAGTTCAAAGGACTAAATATGCCGAAGCATTTGTATCTTTTAAATTCGGAATTGTATTGCCCATTTGGCGCACAATTAATTTGAAATCGGAAATCATATATTTCCCTGAATATCGTTGTTACGGAATGCATATTACGGCTGTGGGTAACAAATATAACAAATCGGATGAATAATATATATGAGAGCTATAGCTATATCTGACCCGATCTTCAAAATTTCAAATTTGACATACTAGCTTCTAGACTTTATTCGGTCGTAAGTGCCAAATTCCATCCCATTTGGGCAAATATTAGACCTTTGGTGCACAATAACAGGCAAATCGGACGATGTTATATACGGGAGCTATATCCAAATCTGAACCGATCTAGATAAAATTTAGCAAAAGTATTTCTGAGCTGTATTTGATATATTTCCCTGAATATCGTTGTTACGGAGTGCATATTACGGCTGTGAGTAACAAATATAAAAAATCGAATGAATAATATATATGGAAGCTATAGCTATATCTGAACCGATCTTCACCAAATTTGATATACTAGCTTCTAGACTCAATTCGGTCGTGTGTGCCAAATTCCATCCCATTTGGACAAATATTAGACGTTTGGTGCACAATAAAAGGTAAATCGAATTTATATATGGGAGCTATATCCAAATCTGAACCGATCTCGATAAAATTTAGCAAATGTATTTCTGAGCTGTATTTGATATATTTCCCCAAATATTGTTGTTGCAGAGTGCATATTACGGCGGCGGTGGACAAAAATAACAAATCGGATGAACAATATATATGGGAGCTATAGCTATATCTGAACCGATTTCGATCAAATTTGGCATACATATTTTCAGGCCTAATTTGGGTGCATATGCAAAATTCCATACAATTCGGGCTGATATTACACGTTTGGTGCACAATAAAAGGCAAATCGGACGAAGATTTATATGGGAGCTATATCAAAATTTTGACCGATTATCTCCAATTTCAATAGGGTTCGTCCTTGGGCCAAACAAAAGATCTTTGCAAAATTTCATCTGGATCGGGCAATAAATGCGACCTGTATTTTGTTTACAAAAATACATGGACAGACGGACGGACGGACGGACGGACGGACATGCATAAATCGACTCAGAATGTGATCCTATGCAGATCATCAAAAGGAACTATGGGTCTATCTCGTTTCCTTTCCTGCCTGTTACAAACAAATGCACAAAGACATAATATCCTGACCACCTTGTGGTGTAGGGTATAATTACATGCAATTTAAACCGTTTTAAAAGATGCTGACCCTTAATTTTGGTAGATATTGCGACAAGTTCCAAAGGAATTATGAGAAGAATTATTTAACAGCAGCGGAATCTGATCCAAAACAAGAGCATTCCTAGATCACACAGGTGTCAGACAGAAATGCCTCAAGTCATTTAAATAATAAAATGGAAACGTTTTAGTTTCACCCTTATAAGCAATTGCCTCTTTCAGTATTTTGAATGCGGATTTTTATATGTTTAGAGTTTTTTTTTAAACAATTGTACTTTTTTTGCTTTGGTAAGGAGAAACAAGGGCTGGAGACGCAAGATAAAATATTCTTAGGGGAAATTTGTTGACACTTTAGAAAGAGAAGCGAAAAAAAAAATTGTTTTAATGTCAAAGCTATAAATCATGAATATGCTTTCAGTACGATTGACGTTCTATACACATACATTCGCCTTCTGTTGGCCCCAAAGACAAAATAAAAAAAAACAGGAACAACAACAGCATTTGTTTTTGGAGACAAATATTAATGCTAATGGAAATTGAAATGGACATGTTTGAAAGAAAAGAGGGGAATACTGCTAATCATCTTTTCATTGTAAGCTTAAATGCTATCAAGTATGCAGTTAAAGCTTCTGTAATCCAAAGAATAATCAAGGAGATATGCCCAATAGCTTTTAATCTTTTCTAAAATATTTCTGTAACACATCGAGTTCTGTTCAAAGATTTTTCTTTAATTTTCCTCCTTTTTGGTTTATGCCATATGCACAAATACAGTAAGGTGTAGATAATTGTAACACCCACTTACCATTTCCACTACACGTTGAATAAGGACAAAATTGAACTGAAGCTGAATATTTTGCACCAGGGTTATTCTTGGTGCGTAGGCGTGTGATTAGGCTGGGTTTTTGGAAGTACGTAATAAAATTCGTACGAAAAGTACTAAAATGTGCTAAAAATTCTGTACCTTATATTGGACCCTGGACATTGTCCAATGTAAGATACAGAATTTTTAGCACATTTTAGTACTTTTCGTAGATGTAGATGTAGGAAATACGAACTTTAAACTTACGAAAAGTTCTAAAATGGAACCATTTGGCATTATATGAATCGATAGAGCTTAACACTTGATTTTAGCTATGGAATCAAGGTAAGTTTGATATATGAAGACGATTTCGGAAATGTGTACTAAGTGGGTGAATTACGCTAAAGTCTTAAAATCTGATACTTACAGGGTGAGATAAAAAAAAACAGCATCAAAGTCAAAAGCCATAATTTTTACATTTTATTGAATGAAAGCAAAAAATGTCGGAAATAGCATCAAATTTTAGAATAAGTTTAGATTTGTTCGAATTGGTCACCTTTGGCACAAATTATGGCCTTCACACGTCACACGCTGCTCGAATGTTGCTCTGCGGTATTTTGGTCCATTCCCGACGAAGCGCATGCTTGAGGTGATCGACAATTTGGTATTTTTTAGTGCCAAACTTGTTTTCCAAATTACTCCAGACACAATAGTCCAACGGATTGGTATCCGGATATTTTGGTGGTCATTGTGCGCTGAAAATGAAGTGAGGAACCACATATTGATCGACCACCATTCTTGGGTGGCGCATGCTGAGTGCTATGGTGCTGAGTCCTGTTGGAATGTCCAAGGTCTGCGGTCAAAATATTTGCGTGGCTAAAGCTATAATACACCCCCCAGAATATTTTCGCGATAATATTCGGCATTAGTTCTGATGTCACGGTCGATTAATACGAGCGGAGAGCGAATATCGGCTGTTATGGCGGCCCACACCATCACCATGGCCGGCTCATGAGTTCTGGTGGCCAACCGAAGGTGCACATTTTCAGCTGACCTCTTTGGCAAGTAAACACGATCATTTTTTTTTTGTTTACAAACTGTTGGACAGCGTATCATTTTTTTTTTTTTTTTTTTTTTTTTGGAAAAAAAAAAACAAAAAAATTTTGCTCTGTTGATCCTAGAAAAAAAATTGTCATTAAGTCCTTGAAAATTAAATTTTTATAAATTATTATAGGTCCTTGAAAATTGATTTTATGTAAATTCATGATAATAGGTCCTTGAAAATTGAATTTTAAAATGAGTTTTAAAAATCAACGATTATAGGTCCTTGAAAATTGGATTTTAAAAAATTCACGATTATAGGTCCTTGAAAATTGAATTTTAAAATGAGTTTTAAAAATCAACGATTATAGGTCCTTGAAAATTGAATTTAGAAAAATTCACGATTATAGGTCCTTAAAAATTGAAATTTATGAAATCGACGATAGGTCCTTGAAAATTGAATTTTAAAAAAATTCCGATTATAGGTCCTTGCAAATTGAATTTTATGAAATCTACGATAGGTCCTTGAAAATTGAATTTTAAAAAATTCTCGATTAAAGGTCCTTAAAATTGAATTCAAAACAAGTAAAACAGCTGTAATTTCGGCCAGGTGGAACTTTAAATACCCTCCACCATTTGGAACAAATTTGGCAACTTTCAAAAAAAAAATAAATAAAATAAGATCCGTTATAAATTCTGTTCTGCTAAAATCATCAAAATACCGAAAAAAGGTATGTACCATTATATGGGGGCTATACGAAGTCGTGGATCTGCAGACAATCTTCTGTCATAGGTATCCATTACGAACTTAAAAAATATAAAACAATTCCGGTGAATAATGTAGCTAATATGATCAAAATACCGAATATCGGGAGGTACATTTATATGGGAGCTCTACGAAGACGTGAACCTGCATAGACAATCTTCTGTCTTAGACTGTATTATCCACTACGAACTGGAAATATAAAATTTGAAACAATTCCGGTGAATAATGTAGCTAAAATTATCAAAATACTGAATGTCGAGAGGTTCCCTTTAAGTGGGGGCTATACGAAGACGTGAACCTGCACAGACAATTTTCTGTCTTAGGCTGTAGTATCCATTACGAACTGGAAATACAAAATTTGAAACAATTCCAGTGAATAATGTAGCTAAAATGATCAAAATACCGAATATCGGGAGGTACCTTTATTTGGGGGCTATACGAAGACGTGAACCTGCATAGACAATCTTCTGTCTTAGGCTGTAGTATTCATTTACGAACTGGAAATATAACATTTAAAACAATTCCGGTGAATAATGTAGCTAAAATTATCAAAATACCGAATATCGAGAGGTACCTTTATATGGGGGCTATACGAAGACGTGAATCTGCATAGACAATCTTCTGTCTTAGGCTGTAGTATCCATTACTAATATCAAATACCAAATTTGAAATAATTCCGATGAATAATGTCGCTAAAATCTACAAAATACCGAATATCGGGAGGTACCGTTATATGGGAGCTATACCAAAACGTGGACCTACATGGCCCATCTTCAATACCAAAAGTTCTGCAGACATAATATACATTTGAGTAAAATTTTATCAACCTACTTCATTTCGTTCAGAAGCTAGGGTGATTTCCACAAACTGACAGACGGACGGACATCGCTAAATCGACGTAGAATTTTATGCTAATCAAGGATATGTATACTTTGTGGGGTCTAAAATGTATATTTCGAGGTGTTACAAATGGAATGACAAACTTAATATT